GACTTGCGCTCCCAGAGGAATCTGGGGCTGTTGTTCTTTTGTGGGTGGCTAGAGGCTCTTTAGACATCATACTCTGCAGTTTCTTTGTTGTTGTTGTTGTTGTTATCATCAATATTATTTTGATTTCTTGAGACAGGATTTCTCTGTGTAGCCCTGCCTGTTCTGAAACTAGATCTGCAAACCAGGCTAGCCTCAAACTCAGAGATCTGCCTGCCTCTGCTTACTGAGTGTGGGTTCAAAGGAGTGTGCCACCATGCCTAGCTTTTTTTAAAATTAGTAATAAAAATTTAATTTTTAGTTTTAAAATTAATTTTTTTGAGAATTTCATATATAAATACTGCATCTAAATCACTCCTGCTCCTCCCACTCTTCCTTCCAACTTCTCCCTTCCCCCTCCCAAGTTCATGATCTCTTTATTATTGTTACATGTACATTCATATGTATATATAACCCACTGAATACATTTAGCTTTGCTCATATGTACCTGTATCCAGGAGTTTGTCCCTGGGGGCAACTATGGACCTCCTGTAGCTCTTCATCTAGGGGTGGGGCCATGTGGAATTTCCCATCAGTCCTGGCAGGCTCACTGGTGTCATTGTGCTGGTCTTATTCAGGCAGCTACATTGTTGAGAGTTCCTAGGTGCATTTCCCTGGTCATGTCTAGAGGAAATGATCTATCAGCGTGTCCTGAGTCACTGGCTCTTACTGTCTCTCTGCTCCCTCTTGGATGATTTTTTTTTCCTGAGCCGTAGGAGTAGGGATTGCATTGCAGATGTATCACGAAGTTGGGCACCCATGATGAATTGTTCTCTGTGTTTTGACCCCTTGTGGATCTCTGATGGTTTCTATCTATTGCAAAAAGAAGCTGCTTTGATGAGGGCACACTTATCTGTGGGTATAGGGATACATATTTAGAACACACTTAGATTTTTATATTGGTTTCAGAAAATGGCAGTAGTAGGTTCTCCGCCTGGGTCTGTGACCTCTCCAGCCATGGGCGGTTGGCTAGGTTTATGGTAACAGGAATGGATTCCCTCCTATTGAGCAGGCCTTAAGTCTAATTAGACAGCTGTGGGTGACCCTCAGGATCTAAGTGCCATTATTATCGCTTTGTGAATATCTTGCTATTCCAGTGATTGTTGTGGTTCATAGGCCTCAGATCTGGGTAGGACTACCGATTGATTACTCCTCTCCCTTAACAGGTGTTATAGTACCAAAGTGACTTAGTATAAACAAAGTATAGGCTTTGTTCACATATGACTAGGCAGGTAATGCCTATGACTAGATCACAGAGGTGACTCAATGATAGACGTTCCTTCTTGCCTTCAGCAAGGCGTAGGATGATCTCCCCAGGTTGTACATCACCTGAGTGGACTGTCACTTGGACCCATGTAACTCAGGTTTGTGTTCTTTGAAGCATAGTGGGGAGACCGAGGCCCATGGAGTTACAGAGCTAAAAACATATGAGTTCTCCAGTGAAGCTTCTCAGGGTTGTGTGGCTTTGGTCTATCCCTAGCCCCTAGGGGCTGCCAAGCAGCCCCTGAAAAAAAAGCAGGCACTGGAGAAAGGGCCAGCCAAGAATTCCACCTCTCAGCTCCCATGAATTTCCTAGAATGGCCGAACTGCTGGTTCAGGTGCCAAGGAAGCCTGGCTTAGGTCAGAGTTCCAGGAGGTGGAGTCTTCCAACATGCTTAGTGTTGTGGGGCCAGAGACCAGCCTTGATAAAATATTTGGGCCACTGTATTCATCTGAACTCCTGCAGAGCTTTTACGGGGGCATAAAAGAAATTCATTCACGTGGTCGGAGCACTGTGGCTTCTGCAGCACCCTGCAACCTGAGTTCTGCTGCATTCGGGCTACCACAGAGCTGTCACTCCAAGTCACTGCACGTGGAGCACTCACTGCTCTGCTTCATAGAATGGCCCTGAGCAAAGCCCTAGGCCCAATATAAAGAGGAATTCAGGTTCTTGGTAAGGTGGTGAGCAGCTCATCACTAGAGGCATGTAAGCAATGCTAGGAACTTTGCCTCCACAGGCTCCCTGTTCTTCCTCTATTTTATGGAGGGTATTTGATTCATTTTCCATCAAGAGATCACAGCTTTGTTTTCTTTCTTGTCCTGGGTCCTGGTCCTCAGTCCTCTCTTTATGAGGGTTGTCCCAAAGGAACCCATTGGTCCCTACGTATTGGGTGGCTCTTGCAGTGAATGAGCTGGGCCTGTCAGAACTAACAGCGTCATTCTCCTCCTAGCCAAAGCCACGGATTGGTGTGGCCATCGGTGACCAAATCTTGGACCTCAGTGTCATTAAACACCTCTTCACTGGGCCTGTCCTCTCCAAACACCAGCATGTCTTCGATGAGGTAGGATATTATGTCATGGATTGTCTCCATTTCATCACCTACTGCAAATGAGATAGTGTTTTCTTAGACACAGGTTATCCCTGGATAAGTGGGAGCTGTTCTGAGACATAATAGGTAACAGGAGGTATCCTTGACATCTTAGGGTGGTTTCTCAGCAGAATGTGAGCTCCTGAGTTGAGAGGGTCTTTCCAAGTTGCCTCTGAAATGAGGATATTCTGTAACTCTGGTTCCTTTTTAGACTGGGCTATTCATGCTTTGGTCTTTCAAAGCCCAAGAAAACCGTGAGAAAAGGAGCCATGAGCCTTACAGTCCAGATTTGGGGTACAGCTTGAGGCAGTCATCTTGGCCTCCATGCTCATGGGGGATGGCTACCCAGTCCTTCAAGGGTACAGTCCTGGAGCATCCAGCCTTGCTTGTGTCTATGTCAGATGGCTGCACTGTCATCTAGGTGTGCAGGAGGACCTGGGGGCAGTCAGCTCGGCTTCCATGCCTGTGGGGTTGGTGCAACTTTCCTCCCTTGTCACAGGCCAGCTCTTAGGATCTGCTTTTTTCTGACACACAGGCAGGGGTGCTTGTGGTATCTCCTGAGTACCTGTTTTGTACAGGAGCTTTACATACATGCTTTCTGTCAGTCCTCCTAGCCACGGCCCCCACCCCACCCCCGGCACAGGCTCAATATTATCTCTAGATGAGTGGGACTTACGCAGTTTGTGGGGTGCTGCCCACATAATAGTTATGGAGCATTGATTGTGAGGTGCATATCCAGGAGTAGACAGGACATTGAGAAGGTAACCAACTTTCTCTAGCTCTATGCAGAGAAGACAAAAATGTAAACAAAGACCCCGACTTGTGAATGCATGGAGAGAAGGCAGACTCTGACAGGAGGGCTGGCTGGAGGATTTTTCTCAGGCATAACCATCTCTGATCGTGTTTTGGTCTTAGACAACTCTCAACAGCTTTATGGGCCTGGGCCAAGCGGCCTGGAAGGAGGCAAGAACAACCTTGCAGAACTTGCTGTCTGCCAGCCAAGCCAGGCTGAGAGATGACAAGGAGCTTCGGCAGCGGTGAGGAACACCTGAGGAGAGAGGGACGTGCCAGGGGAGATAAGGGCGGGCAAGTTGGCAGTGCCCTCATGCACTGCTGCTTGGCTGACTGGCCTGGTACAGTCAGGCCAGCTTCACCCATTGCTGTTCTGGGTTGCATGTTGGTGGGAAGGCTCTGGGCCTGGAAGACTGGATGGAGCCCCTGATTCTATGTTTCAGTGCATTCACCTCCCAGGCTTCTGCCAAGATGCACCTTCCTGCTACCATAGGTGAGTCCTGTTTCCCTGTTCTATCAACCTGAGTAGTTTAGTGGGCCTAGATGGCTGGGCAGAGGCATTGGACCCCCATATCTTGGTGGAAAGAAAGCCTCAGAGCGAGGGCGTTAGGATTGCCAGATGATCCCATCATGACCAAGCTCAGCACACAGTTGGCCTTGGCTCAGGTTGTCTCAAGCCTGCTCTCCTGAAGAAGTAGCAGCCTGTCTAAGTTTGTGACTAGCTACATGGCTCCCTGTACAGCAGTTCACTCCTTCTTCCCAGAAGGTTGTCAGGCAAGCACTCTGAGCTGTCAGGAAAGCGAGTTTTGAGGAAAGCCAGAGGCACCCCCCCCCAACCCCTGCAGGGCCCATGCATGCATTTGACCAGGCATCTGATTTGATTGAATCTGCAAGTTGCTGTCGATACAGCCTGATAGCCTGAAGCTGAGGATGGGCCCATCAGCCTGTGGTCAGGCATAGGCTGTATCCTTGTATGTCAGCCATGAGAGGGAGCCTCTGCTCATGCCTGGACACCTGTGATCTGAGAACTGTACAGTTCTGCCCTGGAAGGATGGGGTTTCCGGAACCAGTTTCTCCATTCGGCAGAGTCCTCCAGAGGTGCTAGTGCCCACAGCTAGGTGGAAGGCGGGCTTGAGGATGGGCTTGTCTCTTGCTTCCCATTAGGACTGTGCTCTACTTTTACGGCAAGCTAGTTGTCTTCTAGGGGTCCTTCATCCTTTCTAGTTAACTGATGCTGTGGCTTCTTGTTTTTACTGTCATGGACATGATTGTTTTTGTGGTAAATACATTCACTCTTAATTCTGTGCATAGGACAGAAGGTGGGAAGTAGTGATACAGTAAGTGAGGGTCTTGCCATCCCTTGAGCCCCTTGCCTGGCCGGCTCCCAGACTGTTTCCTCTCCTTATCTTTCCACCTCCACTTCCAGTCCAGGCTCCTGGGATTGGGGTACTCAGCTTTGCCTTGGGGGTGGTGGCGGTATAAGGTTTAGGAAGATGAGTAAGCAAACTACCCTAAGTGGGTTTTCTAGGAGATCTTAGTAATTCATTTGCATTTGAGAGAGGGGCACCTGGAGTTCGTGAACCTCCAAGTTCAGCTCAACACAATCCACAGGCACTGATATACAAGTTCAAATACAGAGACCAGATGCCTTGTTCTTGGTGCTGAGGGCCAGTCCACGTGAAATAGGGGCCGAGCTGAGACTGGCCCGAAGGGTGACAGTTTCTGCACACCTGGGACTGGAGCAGAGTGAAGCCCACTCCAAAGAAGGGTTCTGTAGTGGGGCCTTAGACGTGCCAGGATTTAAGCCAGCAGAGCTGAGGAAGAAATGAGACTAGGGAGCAGGCATATAGTAGACAAAGGCATGTCAAGGCTCACCCATGTGAGGATCACAGCAGTGACATCTGCTACAAGTTGGGAGGGAGTGGTAGCAGCCATTTCATACTTAAATCGCACTGCCTGGTTCAGAAAGTGTGGGCTTACTTTTTTATTTTCTGAAGGGGTCCTTGAAGAAGGGTGTGAGTCCTTTCACGTGGGACTGGCCTTCCTCCATCTGGGTCACTGGCTGTTTTGGGTCTTCTTTCTGCAGGAGACTACACAGACTTCTACTCCTCCCGGCAGCATGCCACTAATGTTGGCATCATGTTCAGGGGCAAGGAGAATGCGCTGATGCCCAACTGGTATGTCCTAGATCAGATGGTGAGATAAATTCAAAATAATATCTCTCTCTCTCTCTCTCTCTCTCTCTCTGGAAAAACTAGAAGTGATGATGTTCCAGCCTCTGGAAACAGCAGACCTAGCTTCTGATTCCCTCAGCATGACTTGAGGGGTGGGGGGCTGTCAAGGGCCTGTGGGCAGTTCCCTTCAACTCCCCTCTGGAGAGCAGACATGATGATTAGATTCTCTGTGCTGCTTGATCTCTAGATTCTTTTGTCGGCAAACTGCCCATGTTCTAACCATGAGCATTCTGGAAAAAAAAAAAAAAATCAGCAATCTGAAATACTTCCAGTCTCAAGCATTTTAGAGGAGGGAGGCTCATCCTATATTATCTTTATATTGGAGAACATGTGCATAAGGTAAACCAAAGGCAGCACTGAGGACCACCCTGAATCACACACCACAGGAGAAAGGCCCCTTGTTCCTACTCTGTGAAGGGAATGCAGGCCAAAGGCTGTGGCTCCCCAGTTTGCTTCAGATGAGGGTAAGGACGCATTCCCTCACCCAGCCTTGCCCCTCACTTCCTGATCCCGAATATTTGGCTAGACAAGTTCTGGCACCGTGGTGAGAGGCAGCTCCTTTGGGGCTAGACAGGCTGCTGGATCATTTTCCCGGCGGTCATGAGAGCAGACCGTTTCTGATGGATAAACAGCCTGGAGCCATGCAGGGCTGCATGCAGTCTGTTGTATCTACCCACCTTAAGCAGGAACCTGGAGACCGGGCCCAGCCTGCTGTGTCCTGCAAGTCTGACCCCGATTGTCCATTTTCCTGCCACCATGGACAGATGGACAGTCCCTGAGGCTATATCACTCTCACCAGCCTCTGTCTTCACATGGTTATCCCCTCTTCTCCATGTCTTCTACCTTGTACAAAGACACTCTGGGCCATGGGGACTCTTAGATGATCCAGGGCTAATAATTGTCATTCATACGTCTTCCTGGAGGGAAGACAGATCTTTGGGGGAGCTGCCACTCACTGCACTGCCGGCATAACCTCTTGCTTTATTCAGAACAGCATTGGTGTTTATCATGGGCTGTCTTCTCACCCACAGGTAGTTCCGTGTGTTCATCGGAGGGCGCCCCTGGCCCCACCTTGCTTGGTAGTATTTTGATATGTGGACAACTCCTTTATTTCCTCTCCCTATTCCTGTTGTACAAGCATCTTCTGGCAGTGTTCCCCAGCCTTGGATAGCTATTTGTTCTGAGCTTTGTGATTTATTCCTAGGGTTCCCTTGCCTTGGAGATGGACGGGGCCCACAAAGGAAGCAGCAGAACTCTGGGTTCTTTACTTTTCCTCCTCCTTCTCCTCACCCTCCTCACTGTGTACCTAGCCCTAGCTGGCCTAGAACCTACTATGCACACCAGGCCAGCCTGAAACTTGTGGTACCCTTCCTGTCTCTGCCTCCCGAGTGCTGGGATTACAGGCACACCCTGCCCCCTTCTCTTCCTAGAGCTGAATCATTTCCCACTGTATGACACCACATTTGGTGTCTCCATTCTCCTTTCTTAATTCATTTTGGACACTTGAGGACATGTGTTCACTTTTGAGTAGTGAGTGTATACTGACTCTGTTTCTTCCTGCACTTGAATTCACACCATGTAACAGCCATGGCACCCATCCCCTCTCACTCTCCTTTGTCAGGCTCCACTTACCTGTGGGATACCATGGCCGGGCTTCCTCCATCGTGGTATCTGGCACCCCAATCCGAAGACCCATGGGACAGATGAGACCTGATAACTGTAAGCGACTCCAGTCTCCAGGCCCTGCCAGTGCCCAGCTCTGCCCTTTTGCTATGAGCTCTGTAGTGTGGTGTTGATGGTTGCCTTTTATCTGTTGTCTCTCCAGCCAAGCCTCCTGTGTATGGTGCCTGCAGACTCCTGGACGTGGAGTTGGAAATGGTGAGTTATGTGTAGAGTTTCATTGAGGGGGATCTGCAAAGGCCTGCAGCAGCAAAGCTGGGAAGCAGTTCATGCCTGTCCAGCCACAAACAGCAGCCCCGTGGACCCGTCATCTGACCCCTGGGCACAGTTGGTGTTCTTCCTTCAGGTTCTGTGTTTGAGAATTCACCCACTTGCTAAGCTCCTTTGCAACCCAGATATTAACACAAGCCGTTGCCACACAGAGACACGGAACATAGGAGTGTCTGGATGCACACACTGGTCCCTCGCTGAGGTCACACCAGGATCCCTGTCTTCTTGTTTCAGGTCTCCTTCTAGAAACACTTGTTAGTTTTCGGTGTGTTTCCCCACCCCCATGTTTTCCACATTCTTATGTGCTTTGAGCTGCTTTTGTTATTTATCATGTCCCCCACGTGGAGAGTGCTTGTGGTCTCCTAACTGCAATAGGGCAGATGTCCCTTACAGAGACAGGTGTTAGAAAAGCCTCCTTCCTACCCAAGTTGTAACTATTGATGGAGACCTTGGTGTTGAGCCAGTGCTCTCTACCAAATATCATTAACGAAAAGAAGTAAAATATGGTAAGATAAAATGACTTATTGTTCAGATGGTAAGTGCTGTAGCCAGAGGCTGTGAAAACCCAGCTCTTTGCTTCTGACGGGAGTATTGTTTCACCTTGTCTGTTCACATTCACGGTGATTTTATGGAATGTCACGTGAATTAACAAGCCATACCCACCTCATTACACCTGTGGCAGGGCCTGTACCATTTCATAAACGTGCTTATACCAAGGCTTCCCTTTTTAAAAAAAAAAAACAGTTATTTATAATTTAAAATAATCTTTCCCCAATTTTTCCCTCCCTCCTCTCCTCCTAGTGGGGCTCTACATTTTGTTGAAATTAAATAAGTTAATAAAATTAAGCATGTTATTACGAGAGTGCTGAAGACTTTCGTGCAGTTGTGAGAAATGAGGTGGCAAGCCCCTGCACTTGAAAATGGTGGGATCCTTCGTGCCTCGGTGACTCCAGGTCTTTTTTCTTTGTATTTTGATGAAAATTTTTGATGAACAAATAAAAATGACCCTGGTTTCATGACTGTAACTGATTCTGTGCTTTGAAGGAGTCTCCCCCCGCCCAATTTAGGTCCCCCTAGACATGATTGGGTGTTCTGTTGTTAATGGCTGTCGCACAGATGCCATTCATTTGGAGACAGGTTGGGCTGTGAGCCACGGTGTCAGGTGCTCTGGCTCGGGCACATCTCATGCTTCAGTTCTTCACAACAGAGCTGTTGGATATTAGGTTATGGAGTATAGGGAACAAAGCAAGGAGCAGGACGTCCCGTGATGCCCTGAGGGTCAGGAAGAAACTGTCATGGGACTGGGAGGAAAACAGGGCACACATGAGTGCCATTCCGGTCTCAGAGATCCAGTGATTAGTACCAGGTCCTCAGGCAGCCCTGGTTCCTGGTTGGACTTTGGAAATATTTTCCCTTTGCTCTGTAACCCACAGTGACCCGGAGTGACGGGTCATCTTGATTCTAACCAACTTTCCCTATGACAGGCTTTCTTTGTAGGCCCTGGGAACACATTCGGAGAGCCAATCCCTATTTCCAAAGCCCACGAGCACATCTTCGGGATGGTCCTCATGAACGACTGGAGTGGTAAGGCCTGGTGGCCCAGCTTCCTCTGAGGTTCTGCTCTGAGGAGCACACAGGGCTTGGGGATGAGGCAGGAGGCCCAGGGACCGCAAGAGTGATGCCTCTGACCTCTGACTCTGAGGATGTGGGCCAGTCACAGCCTCCCTCAGCTGCTTCCTCATAATCTGTGGAAGGATGGAGCCGACAGTACCTAAACCTTCGTTAAGCCCCACCTATCTCCACTCACCATTGCCAGCGCCATCATCCCATTGTGCTGATGAAGAGCTGAGTGTGGTGCGATTTTAGCCAGTGACCGAGCTGAGCCTTAAAGTTCAGCAGCCTAGCCTCTGAGTGCCAGCTTTGCACCCTGCTACCATGTGTAAAAGGAAGTGGGTTCACCCATCCCAGGAGAGCGCCCCCCCACCCCATTCAGGGATAGTCTTGTTACCCTGTGTTGTAGCCTGGCACAGTGCCTCCAAAGACCTCGGTCTTCACACTGAACACCCTTCTTTTCGTTCCCCGGGAGGTCTGCTTTGCCCTGTAGAGAGGTCCCTGCAGGTCAAGGGCAGGAAGCAGCTTGGTGTGAGCAGTGGCTGTAAGCCATCATGAGCCCTAAGCTCGTGCCTTCTCCCATAGCCCGAGACATCCAGCAGTGGGAGTACGTCCCCCTTGGGCCGTTCCTGGGGAAGAGCTTTGGAACCACCATCTCCCCGTGGGTGGTGCCCATGGATGCCCTCATGCCCTTTGTTGTGCCCAACCCGGAGCAGGTAAGCACCCCTCTGCTGAACGCCCTGCTCTCAGTTCCAGCTTCTGCCCTTTCCTGCTGCCCTTGGAGCAAATACAGAGACAAGGCAGTGCTTGGAGCATCGTCGTGGTGCAGTGGCCAGGCCGCCGTGGCTCCAGGGATGTCTCTCCCTCCAACACAGTTCAGAGGGGAAAATGTAATGTTGTAGCCTTCAGAGTTCTCTGAGTTCAGGGAACTGCCTGGCAAAACCCTGACTGCACCTGTGCCCCATTGCACAATTTTGGTTTGTGCAACAGCGCCCTCTGGAGTCTCTTTTGTAGAATGCGTTTGGAATAGAGGGTATAGGGAAAAGTGCATGTCTCTGCGACACTGTACCCACTCCCTTGCCCAGGCCTAGGCTGGTGGCCCTTGCTCTCACTCCCCAGCCTGTCCCACTATGCTCTGCCCCACCCCTTCACTACAGTCACCCTGCCCTTTTGGCCTTATAGCCAACACCTTGCAGGCCCTAGCTTGCATAGATGTTCTCTCAAACATGGGTCTGTCAATGACCTCTCTGGTCCTCCCGTGTCTGTCTCTGGGTCCAGCTGTCCCCCAGAGGGTTCTGCTCAGGGCTCTCCACTTTTCCTCCCCACCCTCTCCCTGGCATTGTCTCAACGGCCTGTGTACTGCCGCATTTCCCCCTCACTCGTCCATGTAACTCTATTCTCGGACAACCGTGGGGACTTTCCCTGCAAATAGGCCCTTCATAAAAGTCCCAGCAAGGCCTTCACTCCATGTCCCTGGCTCTTCCCTAGCTCTTCCCACCATAGCACCCACCTCTCCCCTCCGCTGCTCTCCCTCCCCTTCGTCTGTCTCCCACCCCCCCTCCCTCTCTGTTTCTGTCCTCACAGGACCTGTTGGGCCCCTGCCTTCAATGGCCCACATCTCCCTTCCTCATCCTTCCTCCAGGTCCATCTTCTCAGAGCTGTCTGGACCCCAGCTGCCTCTGTCCTTCCCAAGTCCCATCTGTGTACAGCTGTCACCACCCTTGTCCATTCCCAACTAATCGGTGTTTTTTTTTTCCTCTGAAGCAGCTTCGCGTTTAACCCTTCATGCACCGGGAAGGAACTGTATTCCCCCCTAGCATCACTAATCAACACTGTTACCGTCAGAAACACACGGCTGTTCAAATCACCCAGGGTGATCTTACGTCCTGCTATACGATTGTCTGTATTGTATTTTAGGGAAATGCTGTCTTTTGTACAGCATCTCTGCCTGGCCATCAGCTGCCTCCCCAGGGGTTCCAGCACCAAATAGGGCTGCCAGATTCACTGTTGCCAGGCACTCTGTCTTCCAGGCACTTGCCCTCTCTTTTGTCCCAGCCTTTCCTTACAGATGCTAGGACCATTTTGCCTCCCACGGTCCCCTTTCCAAACCTATCCTCCCCTGCAGCGTTGCTCCTTTGCCCGACCTGCTCATGCACCCCATCCTCAGCCGATTTTCTCAAATCTAGCACAAGCGGCCTCCTGATTCTTACTGCCCAACCATGGACAGTGTGCAGGGACCGGGTCTCTGGAGAAAAAAACTCTGCTGCCACGTGGCACACTCTGTGCTGGAAAGCAGAGGCTGCTGGGAACGCAGCCCCCCCTGATAGCCCCTCCCTGATGTGTTCTTTTCCTCCAGGACCCCAAGCCCTTGCCGTATCTCTGCCACAAGCAGCCCTACACATTTGATATCAACCTGTCAGTTGCCTTGAAAGGTATGTGGCAGGGTGAGTGGTGTTGCCCACGCTCAGCAGGCAGGCATGGGCAGGTGCCGTTGCCCCCAAGGGATCCTGAGCTTTGGCTGAGGGGCACTAGAAGCACCTGCTGCAGTCTGGAGCCCATGTGGGGCTCTTATAAAGAAAAAGAGAATGCAAGGGCCACCCTCCATTCTAGAGGTATTGTCTTCCATGGGAACACTGGTTCTCTACTCTGTGTCTGCCTAGTGTCTGCTCACATTTGTCACTGCCAGCTACCTTACACTGCCCCGCAGCCCCCCCCCGCCCCCCCCCCGCACCCCAGATGTGTGGCACCATTTCATCAAGTGCCTATTTGAAAGCCCGATCTCAGAGGCTCATGGGACCATGAGAAGCAGGGCTCAGTCCTGAGCAGCAGGTTAGACAGCGCAGAGATCCATGGTGATGGCCTGCCTCCATTGAACCTCTTCACAGATTGAGCTGTGAGGGGCCGGCTCTCCAGGCCAAGCGGTGGTGTGAGGGGCCTGCTGTCTCAGGCCGTGGTGGAGGTCCAGTCTCAGCTCTTCTCTTGTCCAGCTGTGGGGCTTGGGCAAGTAATCAAGTAATGTCCTAGTTTGTCATCTGTGAAACGGGGATTATACCTTTGATTTTATTGTGCGATGGTGATGGGGAAGGAAACCGATCCATACACCTGGATCTAGACCCAGAACAGAACCTGTAACTAGGAAGGGGCAGGTGTCATCTTCATGTTCAGGGTGGAAGAGAGCCTGCCCGAGAGACACATTCAGTTCCTCAAGGCCAAACTCTAGCTGGCCCCTTGTTCCTTCAATTTCTCTCCTTTTGTCTGTGATTACACACAGGCTGTGTTGTGTCCTTATGGTCATTTCCTGGATTTCAGCCCTCATAAGTGGCAGGAGATTCAATTTCTTTCTTTCTTTTTCTTTTTTAACAATTTATTTTATGTGAATTGGTGTGAAGGTGTCAGATCTCCTGAAACTGGAATTGCAGGCAGTTGTGAGCTGCCATGTGGGTGCTGGGAATTGAACCCAGGTCCTCTAGAAGAGCAGCCAGTGCTCTTAACCACTGAGCCATCTCTCCAGCCCCAAGACTCAGTTTCTTAAGGATCAAATAGCAGGATGTTCCATCAAAGAAAGATCCAAAAGCCATGGTGGTACCCTCTGGGAAATTGCTGGTCCCAGTTTCAAGATAAGAAACTGAGGGTCAGAGAGGAAGGATTACCCTGAGTCGTGGGACTGACTAGGGTAAGGCTGGAACTAAGTGCTGGGGCTGTAAATTCCAAGCTAGTGCTTTCACTCGTAGACACATCCTTGCAGTGCCGTCCTAGCTTGCTCTTGTTCTGGGCATTTCCAGGATAGGGGTGAAATCACGGCATCCGGAGGTACAGAGCTCAGCTCAGTTTTGACGTTCCACGCTGACGTCAGAATGACAGGGTTGGAAAGCAGCCATGTGAGCACGCTGACCTCCTGTGGGGCTTCAGAGCAAGCTTCCTGTTGTAGAAGGGCAACAAGCACCAAGGGAAGGAAGGGTGGAAGCACTTTCTAGCGGTTCATACTATTAGAAGATGGCAGCCCTGGCTGGTCCTTTGCATGAAGTAGGTGCTTAGTAAGGACTGTTGGCATTAACAATGAAGTGTAGCAGGTAGACCAGCTCTCCAGAGAGTAGCAGGCTGTGCTTGATCAAGGTCGTATGTAGGTTTCAGCCTATGTTGTCTTTGGTGGCCTGGTGGATATTAGGAGCACTGTAGGAAGAGGTACTCTGAAGTCAGGTCTAGACTCAGAGGCACACATGCCTCTGTCAGTGGTGCTTCCTGTGGGTGTGGGAGAAGAAACCGAGAGCTTAGATGCACATCTTTGCCTGTCCTGGACCAGATGGCCTCAGTAGACATCTCCACGCTCTGATACCCTCTAAGCATATTGTTCCACAGACTAAGTGAAATCCTAGCAGGCAAGTGGAAGTAATTGGAAAGGTTTCCTTTCTGATCGGTGGGACTAAATCTTCATGAGTATTACTTCTCAATTTCTAACAGGAGAAGGAATGAGCCAGGCGGCTACCATCTGCAGGTCCAACTTTAAGGTGAGTTTAGAGGCCAGTAGACTGCTTTGTGGGAGGGAAGAAAGGGACAGGAACAGGAGACTGGCATCCACCTAGGGATGAGAGGGCAGTTCAGCCGGAAAGCCTGGAGTCTCCATGACCCTGTCCCTCCCTAGACATGCATGACATCCACCTGAAAGCCTGGAGTCTCCATGACCCTGTCCCTCCCTAGACAAGCATGACATCCACCTGAAAGCCTGGAGTCTCCATGACCCTGTCCCTCCCTAGACATGCATGACATCACAGAGTCCTGTCAAGGAGGAGGCTGCTGCACAGATGTGACCAAAGTTTTCTGGGAGTAATTCACATCTTGTAAGGGCCAGCCTCTGGATCCCATGTCCTCACGGGCTGGATTGATGAAAGTGCTGCTGTGTGCACATGTGGGGGCCTGAGGTTGACAGTGGGTGTCTTCCTTAGTCACTGTCTGCCTTATTTTTGAGACAAGGTCTCTCCCTGAACCTGGAGCTCACTGACTGGCTAGGCTGGCCGGCCAGCAATCTCAGGGATGCTCCTGTCTCCACCGCCTTCGTGCTGAGAGGACAGGCACTCACCGCACCCCGATTTTTATGTGGGCCATGGGGACTCAGTCAAACTTGGGCCCCCGTGCCTGTGCAGCAAGCTTTACTAACACCTTGGCAGCCTGCTTATGTCTTAATCACACCTTTAAAAAATATTTATTATTATTTTAAAAATTGTGTGTGCATGCATGCATGCATGTATGCACATGCATGTGCAAACACTTATGGAGTCCAGAAAAGAGTGATCCCTGGTGTTGGAGTTACAGAGGGTGGTGAGAACCCAACATGGGTGCTGAGAAAGCACCTCAGGCTCTCTGCTATAGAAGTATGTGTTCATAAGCACAGAGCCATCAAAAAGCAAAGGTTTTGCCGAACAGCTGTGGCACACGCCTTTAATCCCAGCACTTGGGAGGCAGAGCCAGGTGGATCTCTGTGAGTTCGAGGCCAGCCTGGTCTACAGAGCAAGATCCAGGACAGGCTCCAAAGCTACACAGAGAAAGCCTGTCTCCAAAAAAAAAAAAAAAAAAAAAAAAAAAGCAAGCAGAGGTTTTTTTTGTTTTGTTTTGAAACATCAGCACACACATGTACAGATATAGAAATGCTAGAATCATAAGTGTAAATGCTCAGGAGTTTTCACAAAGCAAGCATCCCTGTGCATCCAGCACCCATGTCAGAAAGGGGAATTCCCAGCCCTCATCAGCCTGCTGCCTCTTACAGCTATGCCACCATTTTCCCAAGGCAGACCACATCTCCATGCTTCTCTTGCCATTCAGACTTTGTATTTTATCAGATTTATAGGGATGGTTATACTGGGTATATTTTATGCTGGACTTCATTGTTGCAATGCTGGATTTGTGAGGTTCAGCCATGTTGTTCTTTGCAGTGGGAATTTGTTTGTCTTGTTGCTATAAAGGGTGCTACTGTGCCAGCTCCACAATGGGTGATGGGCATTTGGTTGCTTCCATATTTTGGCCACCTTTGAATTACTGTCAGCATTCTAGTACACATCTCTTGGAGTACACATGTGCACATTTCTGTTGGGTACATATCCAGGAATAGAACTGCTGGGTCATGACAGACAGACAGACAGACAGACAGACAGACACACACACACACACACACACACACACACACACTGCACACTCACATGCACACACACACACACACACACACACACACACACACACACACACACACACACACACACCACAAAGCAGAATGCATAACTAGGAATAATTTTGAATAGCTTTCCAAGATGTTTCCAAGATGTTCCACCTCCATTAACCTCACCAAGAGAATCTCTCACAGGTGTGTCCATAGGTCAGCTGAATCTGGACAGCCCTTCACAGTGGCTTCTTCCCCACTTGGCTCTAGATTACATCAAGTTGGCAGCTGAGATTAGCCATCACATGAACATTCCCACTACTGACATCTAAGAAATTCTGCTACTCCGTGTATGGACATGTAGTGTTTGCTTTTCAGCTCAGCCATTTGGGGAATTGTGGCTTTAGTTGTATTTCCATAAAGGCTAACACAACTGGGTACCTCTTCATATGTTCTTTGGCCACTTGAAGACTCTATGGATGGATGCATTTGTTTTGCATAACCTCCTTGTAGTTAAAAGAAACAGAGAGCTTGAGGAGGAACCAAGGGAAGCATCTACTTCTGAGGATCCACTACCTGCCAGTATGGCTGTAGAAGGGAGACCCAGGAAGCTGTGTCATTGTGGAGGCTTGGGCATGCATTGCCTCTGAGTGTTTCTGGCACAGGAGCCTTGACCTCACTCTGACATTCTGTTAAAATCATTTCAGCTCCAGGGCTGGTGTCAGTTCCAAGTTCTGGCCTGAGGAGTCAGTCAGGCCTTATTGCAGGAAGGACAGCCCACCAGGAACAGCTCTGGGAACTCCCAGGCCTCAGGTGCTCATGAACACATAGGCCTGGACAGACAGAAAGGGTTGAGAAGGCCCAGCTTTCAGACATCTTGGAAAAGGTGGTTGGGAGAGATGAGGTTCCAGAGGAAGTGAGGTTAGAGCTGGTGGGCAAGGTGGGTCAGAACCTTAGCAGGTGGACAGCAGGGCATCTGGAGAGGGACTAGAGGAAGGCAAAATCTCAACTGAAATGAGGCAGGCATAAATTATAAGTATGCATGGAGTGTGGAGGGCAGGGAAGGCATGGGGCAAGCAGACTGCATCCTGCCTGGAGAGCGGGATGCCCACACGTGTCCTACTGTGTCCCTGCCCTCAGCATATGTACTGGACCATGCTGCAGCAGCTCACACACCACTCTGTTAATGGCTGCAATCTGAGACCTGGGGACCTCCTGGCTTCTGGAACCATCAGTGGATCGGTGAGTCAAACTACCCCCTGAGACACCAAACCAAAGTTAGTCAAATTGAGCAATGTCGGGGGTAAACCGCTTCCCTGCTAAGGGAGATCTGTGTGAGAGCCAGAGCTTGACTCTGTCTCCCCGGAAAGCAGCAGCCACTCTATCTAACCCTCTGTTCCCTCCTAGGAGGAGGTGACCTCACAGCTGCAGCCTTCTCATCTACCCCTGAGCCACCACAAGCCTGGGGAGAGGGGTGCACAACTTTGGAAATGATGATATGGGGGTGGTAAATAGGTTGGCTTCACTCGGTGAGATCCTGGCCATGTTGACTGGGAGGTGACAGCCTCTTGCCAGTGGTAGGGTGTTGGACATGACACTGTCTGGGGTTGTGAGCTGCAGTCTATAGAATGAGAAGGCACACTGAAGCAAGCGCCCCGGGCACACTATAGGCACAGGACCCGGAATAGACAGTGTGCTTACAGAAAAGATGAAGACACAGCCTGTTGAGCTACCAGGACATGTCTATAATGGCCTCAAAGGTTTTATGGGCCCCTGTGTCTCACTGTACTGTCCACACTAGAGCTGATATATCGTATCACAAAGATATAAATATGTGTCGTCACCGCCGCCCCCCTTCTCTTCTAAAGGAACCTGGAAGCTTTGGCTCTATGCTGGAACTGTCCTGGAGGGGAACAAAGGCAATTGATCTAGGCCAGGGGCAGACCAGGACCTTCCTGCTGGATGGTGATGAAGTCATCATAACAGGTATGGACCACCAAGCCCCACGGGCTGAGATAGATGGGTATCTATCTCCCTTTCACTTATGGGCATTTCTAGATTCTGTGTTTGCATGGTATGCTTTGGGCTACAGCCTGGGCTATACCCTGGGGACTTCATGTTTTAGTGTCCACACAGGAAACATCATGAGAGTCCATTTTGCATCTCTTCCCCCAAACAATTATTCAGTAATGGTGGGGGCCCTTGCTTTCTGGACTATGTCCCAATCCATGGGCAAGGGCTGATGTGGAACTGAGGTCAGGGAGGGCATGACTACAGTAGTGCCTGAAATTCTCAGCAGCTCCTTTCCAGGAGGTTGAAGACCTCACATCTTTGTTGCCATTTTGCCCTCCACATATTTATCAATAGCAAGGAAGGCACGGTCACAATTAGAAGACCACTTCTTGGAGTCATAAACATTCCAGTGACCTCCCAGGGACTTACCAACAGTGTGACCATTGATGTACTCAACATTCTGAGACTTGATTGGCCTCATCTTTACAATTTGATAACAGAGCTGGAGGATGATGCCAATAACTTTGCTCTTGGAAGAAGTGCACTGGGCCCCCACTGAGTCCCCCAGAGGGCATCCTGGGACTCCAGAAATGGTGGCTCACACTGCAGCGTCATCCGTACACTATTGTACAGGATACACAGTGAGGTTGGCATTTCATGGAGGCATTGCAGACGGTGAATAAGGAAGTCTGGTTTCCCCTCCAGGCAACTGATCTGTACAGTCCTAATTCTTTTCACCTTGGGGCATCTAAAGCATGGAGTATATGTTACAATTAAGTACTTGAACCAGTGATGATGTGTATCCAGGCCTTCTTGTCCTCTGCTGTTTTACATAACTTTCTAGAGAGCCAAGCCCCTTGACCTTTCTTTGATGGGACCCTCTCTGAAGGGCATTCCTCCTTGGGGCCTATAACCATCTCCTACATTCTCACCTGTTCGGCTCTCAGCCCACCTGCCACTCATTTCCTTTTGTGTATCCTCTGCTCTCCCATACTTCCTTGATGCTGCCCTGGTACAAATAGTCTGTCCTGTGGACTGAAACTATTGTTGGTTACTTTATTACTCTTTTACTCTATGGTGTGGGGGGGGGTGTTCCCACCATCCAGCTCCCAAATAAATACACAGAGGCTTATTCCTACTTATAAATGCTCGGCTTTAGCTTGACTTGTTTCTTGCCAGCTTTTCTTAACTTTGAATTATCCCGTCTACCTTTTGCCTCTGAGCTTTTTTCTTTTCTTACTTCTGTATATCTTACTTTTACTCTTACTCCATGGCTGGCTGTGTGGCTGTGTGGCTGGCCTCAGTATCCTCTTCTCCTTGTTCTCTTGCTCCTTCCTCCCAGATTTCTTCTATTTGTTCTCTCTGTCTACCAGCCCCGCCTATCCTTTCTCCTGCCTCACTATTGGCCATTCAGCTCTTTATTAGAGCATCAGGTGTATTTGTTTGTTTGTTTGGTTGGTTGGTTTTTCAGGACAGGGTTTCACTGTGTGGCTTTGGAGCCTGTCCTGGAACTCACTCTGTAGCCCAGGCTGGCCTCGAACTCACAGAGATCCACCTGCCTCTGCCTCCCAAGTGCTGGAATTAAAGGTGTGCACCACCACCGCCCGGTCCATTGGGTGTTTTATACAGGCAAAGTATCACAGCTTCACAGAGTTAAACAAATGCAACATAGACAAAAGTAACACTCCTTAAAATAATATTTTACAACAGGAATCTTGGACCCATTTCTTCATCCTAGTCTGCTGAATATCTCGTTAAGGTGTCCTTTCCTCTCTGTGCAGTTGACATGCTCTAGATATTCCACAGCTGGAGCCCTCATGAAGCTTCTACAATAGACCTTTTAGTCAGTACTGCTCACAGGGCCCCCCTGCTTGCTCCACAATGCTCCTATTCTGCCCGAGAACCTCTCATGGTACCCATCTGCTGCCTCACACAATCTGTCATCACTTTGCGTGTGATTCTGTGTGACTCATTCGGTGTCCTTCTACAACAGACTCTCTGCTATCACAGCACCACTTTTCATAGATTCTGTGGACCCTCCATCTCAGCCTGGCACAGCCTGGTCCAGCCTTCCCTGCCACTAAAGTAGTCACCTTTGTCCTCTGGCGGGAGCTCACTTAGTGTCATTCAAGTCGGCAGCATGCCTGTCAGCTCCCATACCTAGCCAAGGGCTCCTCTTCATTTCCTGGATGTGATAAGAGCTCATGAGCTTGATGGTCTTCTCTTACAGTTCTGGAAGGCAGAATTCTGCCGTGCAGGTGGAGAAGGGGCTGCACTCCGTCCAGGTGCCTGGGGGGAAGGCCTATTCTTGGTCTTCAGCTACAGTGCCACCAGCAGAGCTCCAGGGCCCATTCCCATCAAGACACAGTCTTGTTCTGTCCTCAAACCTCCCTTCTTGTCTCATAGGACATGCTCGTGTTGGTTTTACGACCCACCCAAAGAGCCTTCTCTGAAGGCTCTTTCCACAATCCCACCTGAAAGCCTTTACTCTGTGAGGTGGGTTTGAGGTCCCAGTGTGGGAGCTGATGTCTTTGGAGTCCACAGCTCAATCTGAAGTGCATAGAGACAGGCTAGGCACACCATTGAGTGGACCGAACCAAGGAGAAAGGTTCAGGCAGAGCTCAGGACAACAGGCGACACCCCGGGGTTGACCACTACCCACTCTGCTCTCACTGATCTTAGTTCTGGTTAACTGTGCAGTGCCTCATGGTCTCTGTGCTTCAATGCCATGTATCCAACCAGTTGCGGAGGGAAAACACTGAGAAGAGTTGGGTCTTTCCTGAAGATATCCACTTCTCCTGTCATTACTCCCTAAGCCATACAGTGTAACTCTTGACATGGCTTTTGTATTGTCTTAGACATTGTAAGCCACCCTTAGATGATTTGAGGTGTAGAGACCATGTGTGTAGGCCATATGCAAACTGGCCAGGGGCTTACCCTGGAGATGCCAAGGGCCGACTGTACTTATGAAATGTCTGCGGAGTCCAGCTGTGTTGGAGGTATGTATCTACTTCTGTGATTTCTCTTTTTACTCACCCAAGCCTTTGGAAAATGTGTCATTGTCCCCGTTTTGCAAAGTAAGAAACCTAGGAGAGCATAAGGGAGGTGAATTAGGGCACACACAGACAGCAAGGTCAGGACACAGCTCCCGTTGTGAGCTGCTCTTTCCAAGGCTAGACCTCGACATGTCAAGCAAGTCCTCCAACTGCTGTATGCCAGTTTTATGTATGGTATTGCTCCGGCGCCTGCCAGCCAACCCCAGGTTCTTGCTGTGGTCCTGTGGATTGAGTGAAAGCATTTTTTTTTTTCAAGTGTTGATGTGGAAAGAGAGGAGAGAGAGAAAGTGACATTGACTCTTTGATATCAGTACGACAGAGCCTGACAGCTGCCTCTAACAATGCGGTCTTGGCTGGGCAGTTGTCAGGCCTGGAAAAAGGGGCCCTGGGGCTGAGGCAGGCAGCCCCATGGTGGTTTTGATGTTTGTACCACGGAGGGCAGGAGGAGTCCTTTCCTGTGTGGTTGTGGGGAGCAGGATCCACAGGCGCCCCGGTTTGTCCTGCCTTGGCACCAGGGCCTGTATACCGCCTTCCAGCTTCACATGCTCTGGTTCTCTTTGGCTTTCCTACTGGCTTTCTCTGACTTTCCTTTATCATGTCATTTTCCTGCTTTCTCAATGAGGAGACAAGTCCCTATGTCGCTCCCTGATGACGGAATATGTGGTAGATTTTCATGTAGTTCATATGACACACTGTATAAGGTGCCCGTGGGTACCCAGACATCACCCTTCATATACAGAGACCACAACTGAAATCCGAATCCTTGGGTCGAAGAGATGGGTACAAGCAGAGCCAGGATTTGAACCTGTGTGGCCCCTGCATGGAACCACATAGAAGAAGAAAGTAACCAAAAACCCTCAGTTTGAGCAAGTGGCTTCAGGCATCAATCTCCAGCCTTTTCTTCTGTCCTCACTTGGCATTCTGCTTTGGACCTGCAAGGACCTGTTCCTGGAGACCGGCTAGGCACTTCTCTGCCCACTGCCCTTTAGCTCACCGTTAGTTGAGACGTCTGTCTTGGCATCTGAAACCTCGTGACACAAACCCATTTCCTATCCTGCAGTCATGTGACAGTGGCGTCTCTCACACCTGCCTGTTTTTCTTCACCACACAGATCTGCTGCCCCATCTGGTCCAGGGAACCATGGGGCTTCTCAGTAGTGTGCTTGAGTTTTCTTCCACTGGAGGCTGGGATCTCATTTCTCCCCCATTTCCTCCTTCTCACGTTGAGTAGCAGGAGGCCCAGCTCCAGGCAGGGGACCTGTCTCTAGGGTGGGGCTGTGCAGTGAGTTAAATGAAAGGCAAAGCCCTGGGTCGGCTTCCGTCCCGAGTGATGCCCCCTTTGTCTTTATGCTGCCCCAGTCCACCCTCTGAAGCAGCTCAAGCCCAGGAAGTCTGCAGCTCTGTGACTGATCCTGCCCTACTGTGTTTCAGGTCACTGCCAGGGGGACGGCTACCGTGTTGGTTTCGGCCAGTGTGCCGGGAAGGTGCTGCCTGCCCTCTCGCCAGCCTGAGGCTCCAGAAGCCACAGGCCACAGCCTGGCCTGCCGGGGACAATGCTGCAGCTGCCCTCCATGCAGGAATGAATAAAGCCATTTTGCTTGTAGGAAGCGCCACAGAGTTCTCTCTCCTTGCTTTTGTCCAGTGAGTCGGTGTATGCTGCTCCCATGGAGACAGTCATTAATTAGTTCATCGCTTCCGGGTGTGAGGCTGAAGGCCCTGATGGGGTTCTCCATCAGACACCTCAGGCCTTCAGTACTCCCTGGGATGTGGGAAGAGGGTGGCCCCTGAAGTATTCTGCACTCCCCAGAGAGATGCAACCAGAGTGTGTGTGTGTGTGTGTGTGTGTGTGTGTGTGTGTGTGTGTGTGTGTGTGTGTGTGTGTTTGTGTGTGTACATGTATGTGTGTGCCTGGAGACAAAGACACATACACATGGGGTGGGGAGGTATTATAGAGACTTAAAGCGCCAAATCCAAGTGCTGGTTATCCGGCAAAACTCTCTCTCCTCCTGTGGCTATCACCATGGAACCAAGTCCTAGGTGCACACCTGAGCCAAGGCTAGGATGAGCAAGGGTCCTGGTGCTCACCTTTCTCCTTCATACCCACTGGAGCCCAGAAGCAGCCCTGCCTGAGGTCCTCTGTTCCCACCCACTCTACGCAGGATCCTTGGCCCAGTTTCTGAGTGATCAAAGAGGGTGCCTGTGACTCTTCTTGGGCTAGATGAGTGGGAATTCAGGCACGCTAATGAGTAATGCCGTTCAGTAGCCATTTATGAGCTTTGTAACTTTATGACCTTCCTGAGTCTTATGAGTTTCCTGGGCTCCTTGTTTTGTTTCCTGAGTCTCATAACCCTCACCCCTACCTTCCCTTTGGAGGAAATCACTACACAACACTCCACCACTTCCTCCAGCCTTCTCCTCCCTCTTCTGAAATGTTCCTTGAGCCTTAGAGAGGATGATATAGATGCCTGCTTATTTTCTTCCACTTCTATCTTAGAATTGGGCCACTATGTCACAGCAACAGTCACTGATTCTCCAGTTTGACCCCTCATGAAACCCCATAATAACTCCTGCCCACTGCAAAAAAAGAAGTTTCCCTGCACGATAAAAGCTGATCAGTGTAGTCATCTAAGGATATGTGCACGGATCTTTAGAAGATAATTTGATGGGCACATATTTCTGTTTACCAAACAACAGCAGTCACCTCCACAGCTGCTGGGATTTGCCCTGGCTCACAGTTTCTAACATAGGCTCCCTCTTATTCCAAACACAGAATAGGCCTTAAATCTATTTAGAAGGTGGTTGGTTGCATTTATAACAGTCATTCTACTATTGAACCAGTAGGCACATCTTGCCTGGCATGTTGATAGCATGGTATACTAGGTACTAGGTCAATAACCAGGTCAGTCTCAGCTTGATTTCTCCAGGTGCTTTAGCCAAAGCATGTGGTGTTTTCAACAATACAGACTTAACATCTACTTGGGGCATGCGACCTACAGCAGAGGTAATAGATTGTATGGATTACGGTGTCCTAGTCACTGTTCCGGCCAGCAACTTGTAGGGAATGTAGAAGCTGCAGCCTTCCTCAACTCTGTTTCTGCATCTGCCTTGCTCCAGAAGCCACAGGCCACAGCCTGGCCTGCCGGGGACAATGCTGCAGCTGCCCTCCATGCAGGAATGAATAAAGTCATTTTGCTTGTAAGAAGCGCCACAGAGTTCTCTGTCCTTGCTTTTGTCCAGTGAGTCAGTGTATGCTGCTCCCATGGAGACAGTCATTAATTAGTTCATTGCTTCCGGGTGTGAGGCTGAAGGCCCTGATGGGGTTCTCCATCAGACACCTCAGGCCTTCAGTACTCCCTGGGATATGGGAAGAGGGTGGCCCCTGAAGTATTCTGCACTCCCCAGAGAGATGCAACCAGTGTGTGTGTGTGTGTGTGTGTGTGTGTGTGTGTGTGTGTGTGTGTGTGTGTGTGTACATGCATGTGTGTGCCTGGAGACAAAGACACATACACATGGGGTGGGGAGGTATTATAGAGACTTAAAGCCCCCCCTCCAGAAACGACTGGCAAAACTGTAGTATAGAATGGATTTTGAAAGGCTTAATTTCAGTGACTGACATACAAAAAAAAGCAGTATCTGCCCCTTTTCTATTTTATTTATTTTTTTAAAATTGATACACAAATTGTACATATTTATAGCATATCATAGGATGTTTTGATATGTGTGTATATTGTGCAGAGCCAAGTCCAGGTAACCTTATATATCACCTCAAACATTACTTCTTTGTGGTAGAAGCATTCAAAATTCCCTCTCCAAGCTCATTTGAATCTGCAGCCTAGTAACCCAATGGAACTGATTTCTTTAACTGTAACATAGGACCCAGTGACCAGGTCCCCCTCTGCTCCCCCAGTCTCTGGTAACCACCATTCTCCTCTCAGCTTCTGGGGAAGCGATGGTTTTTGACTGCATATGGGACATCATGAGTACTTGTTTTTCTGTGCTTGGCTCATTTCACAGAATGACCTCCAGTTTCATCCATATCCCAATGACAAGCCTTCATCCTTTCTAGAGATGAATCAGATTCCACTGTACTCAGGTACCACATTTTCTTCATCTGCTCATCCACTGATGAATATTTATAAGTTTTCCAGCTCTTGGCTATTGTGAATTGTGCTGTAATCAACATGGGAGTAGAGTGCTTTGAAATATTGCATTTCCTTTAGATATCCCCCTAATGTGGGATCATATGGCATGCCTAGTTTTAACTTTGTGAGGAACCCCCATGTCGTTTCTATCATATCTTCCAGCTAATGGTGTGTGACTCGTGAAATTGAGTTTTCCACCCCTGTAATAAATAAGCATCGATGTTCTGGATTGGGAATCACCAGCACACGTGGTGGGAGTCCGATAAACTGGAAGATGTCGTTGTGCCTGTTAGGTGAACCAGTGTACAGAAAAGGGGATTGCTGCACTGTCAGGCAATTTTTCCCACACCCTAGAAGCTATGGCTTTACTGCTACCCCACAGGGGCAGAGGAGACTCACTCCAGAGCCCAAAGATTCATTGGGACACTTGGTACATCTGGTGCCCTGTGTCCCCATTCTGGAAGTCTAGGGTTCAATTCCTAATTAGTTCTGTGGAGACTCCAGTGCTCTTCATCTTGGGACTACAGATCCAGGAGCTCCTGTGGCCCTCTTCTGGGAGTTCTAAAGTGCTTCCAACTAGACCTGCAAGGCCCCTTCCTGAGTTCTTTGGGCATGTACTAACTCAATAAAAGCAGGACTAGGATTTGTCTCCTCTCTCAATGAGGTAAAATGCCCCCACAGCCAAGGGACTATGCAGGGGATGTGGGGTAGGAGGGGAAAGACCAAGACTGCTGTCCATCCCAGGCCTCATGACCACTACAGAGGTGGCTCTGCTAGCCTCTCTGTCTTGCACTGGCTACATTCCAGTGTAAGGTCTGGCTGGGAATGAGGCAAAATTGACATTATCTGGGGCAATGTGGGTATCCACAGGACTAATCCTTAGGATTAGTGTTTGCCTCCCCTTCTTAGCAGAGTTCCTGATGGATGCTCAGTGTTGCTTGGGGTGGGCTGTGCTGGTTATTTTTTAGTTACTCCAGTGTGCCGACATACATAGATCCTATTGCTCAGCAACCCCATCCTTTAGTGTCTATTATTTTTGTCAGTGGGAGACTGAGAAAGGAGGCAAAAGGTATCTCCAACTCTTGCCCTACTGGCCTGGAATTGTGCAAGAACCTTTTTTTTTTTTTTCTTCTGGTTCTGGGGATTGAACCCAGGATCTCCACCATCTTAGGCAGGTGCCCTACCACTGAGCTATAGTCCAGTCCCAGGCAAGAGTATTAGATGTACCTGTGGCACAGCTCCTTTTGCCTGACTCTACCCTGCAGCAACTCCTGCTGGGATCGGGTTGTCCTTCCTTGTCTCTTCAGGCTTAGGTAAGTCTGATGTCTCATTGAGGGCTGTCCTTGGTATCTGCCATTCTGTTTCCCTGAGCTCTACCCAACCTCTGTGAATGGACTTTCTTTAACTCTATTACTATTTCAAGTGCACCCTCTCGCTCCTGCTAGCCACTGACAGTTACAGAGAGCCTTCCCTGGGGGAGGTGGGGGGGAGAGGAGGGAAAGTCTTAGTCGATGACTGTCAAGGACTTATGGAATCAGCGCAGATGGGCAGAGAAGCAAGTATGATGAGTCTGTCTGTCCATCTGTGCCAGAACAGATGTGGGAAACTCAATGTGATCACTTCTCAGTAGCCTGGGCCATCAGCTACAGAGACTATTATGGATATTATCCATCCTACATAGCAGGACCAGTCCTCAATAGGACAGGGGCCCATTCTTGTGGACAAAAGGCTTTGCAATTATTTCCGCTTGGTGCTTGAAAAAAGGACCGGCCTCTTTTGGAAACCTCTGGAGTCCCAGGGGCAATTCCGTGGGGGTGGAGAGCCACTTGTTTTTCATTCCAGCAAGGACATGTGGGGCGAGGGGCAAATATCATTGACAGAATGCTGGCCTCACATGCACAAGGCCATGAGTTCCATACCCAGCAATGCAATCACTCCACCAAAACAAAACAGCATGTGGACATTTGAAAACTAATTGGAAAAGTAAAATGGCTGTGATGGCAATTTATAGGCCACACTGGGGCAGCTGGGTCCCACCACTTACATCAATCAACCTCTGAGCATGCTCAGGGACCACCTTCCTTCTGGTGGCTATCATCTGGCTTTCTTGTTTCTAAATGTTTTTATTACCCCATTTGTCTCTGGGACACCTGGGCCCTCTCTGTGGCCTACCACACAGATGGACCCACTGTTGCAGTTCAATGGGCATGAAAGGATGACTATGCATCTGCCTTTGCTGAGAGCGTGAGATAACGCATAGGGACTCCACACAGCACATCACTGCAGCAACTTGAACCCAGCTACTAGATGCCATTCTCTAAGGACTCCGTCATCCATTCCCTGCCATAGAGAGTTTGCCTTCTTCTCTGGCTTGTAGCTGACTCTACAGCCCTCATTTCCTCCAGCCTCTCTTCATCTCCTCTCTGCCAACTTCCAAACTTCAGCACTAATGTTTTGCTGCTGTGTTTCCTTCTCTGTCCATAACTACAGGCTTTCTCTCAGCTCGCAGAAACTTATGAGGATGCTCTGGTCCCTAAAGGACCGCTTCCTCCATCCTTCAGAAGAGAAAGCACAAGAGAAGGAAAACTGGAAATTCTTCCACCTTTCTCTCGCCTTCACATGATCAAGTGACAGAGATGGGGACCTCCCTTTCCTTCTTTCGAGAAGAGGTGTGCTAGAAATCTTCCTTCTCCCCTCTCCTGAGCAAGCCCCAGGCTCAGCACAGCCTCTTCTATCTATCTCTTCTCAGCACATGTATAATGGGAAGGGGAAAGCAACGTAAGTATTTGCCGCAGGGGTCTGCATTGTTCCACGCATGTACAAGGGAGGGGACTCTTCTAAAAACAGACCTTAATCATGGTAAAGGTGGAGGAAGCTGGGAAATTGGCTCAGTAAGCAAAGTGCTTGCTGTGTGAGTGTGAGGGCCTGAGTTTGAATCCCCAGAGCTCATGTGACAGAGGGTGGGCGCAGCAGTGCACATCTGTAATCGCAGTACTCTCGTGGGAGACGGCAGGCAGAGACAGGACGATCCCTGAACGCTTGTTGGCCGGCTAGTTTGGGGTAGAAAGTGGTGAACAGTGAAGAAGAGACTGTCTCAAACAAGGAAGGAGCAACACTCAAGATTGTCCTCTGACCTCCACACATGCTTATATTCACACACCAGAACGTGTACACGCCATTCACACACATCCCCCCTCTCCTCTCTCTCTTCTCTCTCCCCTCCCCTCCCCTCTCCTCTCCTCTCCTCTTCTCTCTCTCTCTCTTTCTTTCTCTTACACACACACACACACACACACACACACACTCACGAACCACCACCAAGCACACAGATACAAACAAGGAGAAGCAACATTGTGAAAAGTTGCTTGTGAAGGGATTCTGGTTGAATGAGTGTCTGAAGCTACACAGCCAAAGGTACTTGTGGACAGCTTGCAAGAGGATGAACAAACGAGCAAGCGAGCAAGGACGTGGGCACGAAATAGAAACCGCTGCTTTGTTGCCTTCTCAGAAGCTTGGCTCTGGAGGGTGGGGGTGGGTTTTGAAATCACCTCTTTTCTCAAATATTATTTCCCCTTGCCATGAAAACAGCACGAAGAGATAAGGTGAAAAATACTAAGGGGTCTAGGTTTGGCAAGTTGTCTGAGACCAGGGGCCCTGGGCAATGCTTCTTAAACAGGGGTGTGCAACCATCCAGGAATCTGGCTAACTTAGGTCCCTGGTGGGCCCAGGCTGTCTAGTTTGAGTCTAGTCTGCCTAGTCTGCAGATCTGGGGAAGGGAGGAGGGAGCTTCTAGCAGGTGTGGTTTGCCCTCAGCAGGCAATCTGAGAAGCACAGCTTGGGGCATCCCATTTTCCCTCCAGAGAGCTCCAATAGGAAGTCTTCAGAGCTCTTCAGATCTCTTCTTCCTGTGCTGTCATTAATAGCTGGGAACAGGCCCTGGTTGACTCTGTAAACCCATCCCAACAGGTCCCACAGAAGTGCCTGCGGTCTGTGAGGTAGGTTTTTGAGGAAGGCCTGGCTGGAGGTAACACCTCATAGCCACGTTTGGAGTCTGTGCTAACTGTCCCTTTGTACATCCCACTGTGTGTGTGTGTGTGTGTGTGTGTGTGTGTGTGTGTGAGAGAGAGAGAGAGAGACAGAGACAGAGACAGAGACAGAGACAGAGACAGAGACAGAGACTGGGCGTGCCCGGGAAAACCACCCCAACATCATCTGTTCACTTTTAGGGGTCACCTAGCAGTGACAGTGCTTTGGAAACCTTTTCCCCAGGTAGCCTGAGGTGCATGGGAACCCATGGCTTGAGTGTGGGCAATGGAGGAGGTCTGAGGTCCACAGCACAGGTCTCCTTTGACAGGGCAGCAAGTCCTACCCTGGAAGGACACAATAGAGGCAGCTCCCAGACGTGAAAAAGCTGACAATGGTGATGGTGTGTGTCAGTAGACCCCAGATGCTGTGGTGTCACGTGTAGAAGAGGCCACTATGAGTGTCCCGCTGGCCGGTACTGGGAGCTCTGGCTCTTGGAAGGCAGGGCTCTTTTCCTAGGGTGAGAGATTCAGGAAAGGATGCTCCTGTTTGCTCATGCTCTCCCGTCTTATCTCTGCAACAACCTTGTGAGGTAGATGTTACTCCCCTATTTTATAGATGAGGAAATTGGAGCTCACAGGTGCTGATTTACTTAGGGGTCATAGAACGAGAACACAGGAGTTGAGGCTGCTGGTGTGTGTGTGTGTGGGGGGGGTGCAGGCTCTGACCCAGAATCGTTGCAGCAAGGTCATAGATGTAGGTGACAGTGTGTGGGAGAAGAGGAGGAAGGGAAGACAGGGAAGAGTGATCACCAGCAACCTAGTCTCAGCTCCCACTGTAGCTTGGCTCCTTTCACTGACAGATAGACAGACAGACTTCCCCTTCCCATCTTACAATGAGGAAACTGAGGCACCTAGAGGTGACATGACTTTCTCAAGATCATACAGCCTTTGAGTAGCTGAAGCAGGACTAGAACCCAGATCTTGCCTGGAGCTCCTGGAATGTAGGGCTTCTGAAGGTTCCTGGGTGAAGTAATTTGTGTGAGAACATTGTGGAAAAGTTAAATAGATAAAGAAAAGGACTATATTCAGTCATGACCTACAGAGTATACTCTCAGTCACAAAAAAACAGCCACGATATTTTCAGAGGCAGAAGGTATCTGAGCTATCATATGAATCAATGCAGCATCATGCGTACGGTGTGAATTACTAAAAAATTTCTTGTAAAAAAGACTTGAAGAAATATATCAAAATGATGGCTTCTGGGAAGTCGGACTATAAGTGCTTTTCACCTGCCTTTCTTCTATTTATAGTTTTCTTTTATTATATTTATATTTCTTCTATATTTTCCCAAGTGTCTAAAATGCACATCTCATTTTTAACAGGAAAAATATATCCCTCTATATTTTAGTTAAAAAAAAAACAAAACGAACCCCGTTTGGAAGTAGCTGTGTGCGTTGTGAGAATTTGCCGAAGCCCCCTGAATTTTCCATTCTTCCTGCCCCTCCACTGCTAGGCTGTAGGTAAGAGTCCTGGGCTCTCAGCAGCCTCTCTGTGCTGTGCATTTGAAGGGCAGTCTCCTCCTGACCACTGTTTGCAGATCAGAGTGTCTGTTCTTTGTTCAGTTTCCAAAGGTGCACAGGAGCCTAGACAGGGGACCATCACCCTGCAGTCTCCCAGTGGAGTCCCAGGATGGACCCCACTTGCCTGAGTCATGGCTTAGCACTCTTCTCCCCAGGTCTCCCCAAACTGCCTTGCCTCTAGCATGCTGGCATTTCCCTGTGGTGATCATGTGAGAGCGGATAAGGTGAAGGTGAGCCTTCTCCATCTTTTGGTGGTCAAAGCCACTTCCAGCCTCCAAGTGCTTGGAGGATGTTGGCCAGGGTATGAAGATGTGCATCCTGGGACACTGTGACTTGTCCTATGCCTCAGTCATCCAGGTGCTGCTCTTCCCAGGTGGACGTGGGGATGGCACTGTAGGGGTCCATAATGACCTTGGCACAGCGGATGATCATGACTACAAGGAAGAGGCAGAGGAAAACGAAGCAAGCCAAGGTCAGCCCCTTGTCCACATCCACATAGACCGGCTCAGGAGTGGGTTCCTCCATCCTGCAGCAGTGACTGTGGCCTCCCGGGGCTCCGGCCTGACTGGTACCATTTTCTACCCCTGTAGAAAGAGCCAGTTAGTGAAGAAGTTAGGGTCACTTGTCTGTGTAAGTTACCTCCAAGGACAAGAGTTTACTGCTGAGGACCCCCAACTTAGGGGCACTCGTGGTCACAGCCCAATACCTTGTAAGCAATCTTTGTTTCCAGCAATGTGCACCCCAGGGTGGTGGTGGTGGTGTGACAGTGAGTCTCAGCAGGACATGGGTGGAATGGGCTGAGGGACCACCTTGAGGGCAGTGCCCTGTAGCTACCTCCAATCTTAAAGCCCTTCAGGAAGTCATGAGGGCAACACTCTCCACTCAACAAATGCAGTGGCAGACCATGATCAAGACACTTTAAAAAATGAGCAGAGGGTATTTCTTAAGTATTCAGTAGAACCTGGATTTCTAAAGAAACTGATGGCTAAACAGCCAGTAGGAACAGGCAGAAAAGAGTTGCTGCTGTAGAGCAGTGGGAGGCAGCGGGACCATATTCTTCCGGGGAATCCCCAGGGCTTGTACTGGGGCTCAGCCTTGTTTTGAAAGATGTGTTGGGGACAGAAGGTGCAACGTTGGAGCTGTCAGGTAGACCCCAGTCCTGTTCTGCTGCTGTAACCGGTCTGGGCAGCATCCCTCAAGCACTTAGGGGTGCTTTACAGACTTTCAGGTCCAATGCTCTCCCTGCTGAGTGCAGGCAGCCATACCTGAATTATGGGGACCTGTGCATTAAATAAAATTGATCCTGTGTTCGAAAATCCAGCACAACCTCTGGCCCTGGGACTGGCCAGTTAACAAGTAGGTGGGCTGACACAGGATTGGGGGTGGGGGTGGGGCAGGAGAGGAGGACTAGCTCAGTTCCTAGAAAGGCCAGTTGCAGAGCACAGAGCATGCAGATGAGAGGCCTGCCCAGCTCTCCACACAGGCTCATTTGGTAAATATGGAAGCTTAGCTACAAAGCGGGTAAATGACAGCCAGCATCCCACACCCCAACCTCAAAGCATCCTCACTTCCCCTTAGACCATCTCTGTCCTCAGCCATCCCTGGACCACTCACCTGCCAATTGGAGTGGTCACCACTTCAGGAAGACCCTGGGTTGAGCTGTTCCAGGAGGCAAGATGGACAGCTGAACATCACAGCTTGAGCCAATGAGTCAGTATGGCTTCTCCGAGAGCAGAGCTGTGGGTGGCTGGAACAGAAGGACAGAAGACTGGTTGTTTCTGGAGACTTCTACCCCAAGTGAGACTATGGCTGGCCAGGAAGGAAGAGTGCCCTGCAGCCCCTCCACACGTTCCCTGGCTCATGATGGATTTTCTTTCTTTCCTTTTTCCAAATTAGTTGTAGTTTTTGAAAACTGCATACAAAGAAATGGGTTTCATTGTGGAATTTTCGTAGACACTTTGCTTTGTTTCCCCCATCTTTCCCCCTCCTCTACTGCTCTCCCTGACCCCTGGTGCGATGACCCTATTGTGATTTCATGTCACATTGGTTCTATTACCTTTTTTTTCTCCCCCATCCCCCAGCCCTTCTTTATGATCTCTTTCCTCCCCTTCCCATTGTCCCCTTTGAATTTCATGCCCTATACCCAAAACTCCCTATGTATATACACATATATACATAATTAAAAATTTAAAATTAAAGTCCTAGAAAAGAAAATACATAGTATTTGTCTTTCGGCATTTTAGATACTTCAGTTAACATAGTGGTTTCCAGTCATGTCCATTTTCCTGCAAAGATGATAATTTCATTTTTCTTTATGGCCAAATAAAATCCTTTGTGTGTGTGTCCCATGTTTTCTCTGTCCATTCATTTGCTGATGGACATCTAAGCTGGTCTCGTTTCTTAGCTATTGTGAATGGCACAGTAAATATGGATGTGCAAGTATCTGTGGTGTATTGTTGACTTAGGGTCCTTCCTTACATGTCCAGGGCTTTTTAAACTTTTAAGTTCTGCCAGTTTGGGGGGAGGATATCTCCAGAGGTCTTTTTCTCAATATTCTCAAACATGCAGAAAAGCTGAAAGAATTGTAACACACCTATCTATCTGCCCTTCTCACTCTTGAATGTACATTAGGTAAGATGCAGACAGAGGAACTCTTCGCCCCAGAGAACTGCAGCATTCACATCAGTATCTGGAATTCACTATCTCTTCCTAGTTTCTTCTTCTTCTTCTTCTTCTTCTTCTTCTTCTTCTTCTTCTTCTTCTTCTTCTTCTTCTTCT